GTTAGCTGAGGTACGGTACCTAAAACTCAATAGGTAATTAAAAAATATATAATATTAAAATTGTTGTAAAACAGTTACAACTTGTATTAAAACTTATTTTTTAAACTGCCAAAAACTGATTGCTTAACATTAAAATTGTTGTAAAACAGTTACAACTTGTGTTAAAACTGATTTTCTTAAACTTCAAAAAAGTGGTTGTAAAACAATTTTAAAATTGTTGTAAAACAGTTAGCCTACAGCTCGTATTGAAACTTATTTTTTTCAACTCCAAAAAAACTTATTGTTAAACAATTTTAAAATTGTTTCAATCTTATATCAAAATTGTTGTAATATGAAGTTTAAATCAAAATGTTTTAAAATTGTTATACAACAATTATTGTAATACAGCTTTCGACAACTCAATTTTTTTGCTTATTGGGTTATTGTTAGGGATAAAAATCCCTCACAAATTCATTATTGAATTCCTTATTTCTAGAAATCAAGAAAAATAAATTGTATTGACACTATTCATATCACCCAAGTAGCAAGAAAACAGTTTGAACTGGTAATAAAACAGTTTTGAAACTTGAAACATGTTAAAGCATATAGGTACATGCTTGAAATGACACAAATGCCATTGAAAATCTTTTTCAAGTTAAATTATGAGGCCTAAAACAGCTTCTCGCCAATTCAACATGAAGCGTCTGTTGTGTAATGGTTAAGACACCCGGCTTCCATGCTGGAGTCCCCGGTTCAAATCCCGGGAATCCACTGAACTTTTTGCCAAGAATTTTTTTACTTTTTAATTTTTATTTTATTTTTAGTGCATAGTTGATATTATTTAAGGTTTTGAAACAAATTAAAAATGGTTTTTTAACAAGCTACAAATTATTTTCAAATAAGCTAATGAATCGGATCCTATTTACTTGTATTGATGTGTATTGGCCCAAATACACATACGTATAAATACGTATCAATATACAATTTTTGTATTGATATTGATCTCTTCCACTAGGGATACTATCATGAAAGTTTATGCTCCAAAAGACAAAATTACAGTTTTGGCAGTCATAATAATTATATTATAACAAAATGCCCTAAATAAAAGAATAGGCCTACTTTGCTACATTGTGGTAACTTATATATTTTACTAGCTGGCCCAACAGACGTCGTCCTGTTCTAATGTGGTTTTATGTCAATGCTCGTTCATTTTCAAGATGAGCTCCTTCGCATGGCTCAATCACGTCCTGGTTGAAGTTCGTTCGCTACGCTCACTCACCTTTAGGTGAGAGCTCGTTCGCTGTGCTCACTTGCCTTCAAGTTAGCTCGTTCGCTACACTAACTCGCCTCCAGGTTGAAGTTCGTTCACTACGCTCACTCACCTTTTGGTTGCAAATTAGCTGTTGTCATAAATAAAAAAAAAAAAACAATAGTGCTGCACCCTGTTGGCAAACCTATTAACTTTTTAATGCTATTGAACATCACAGAATCAAATTGTTAAGTTGAACCAGCTGTTAAGATTCTTTAATTCCATTTAAATATGAGTACTCATATAAGGTTAACATGGTAAACTCCAGAGCCACTGGGGCGGAGCCCTTTTGACGGATCTGCACCAAACTTCACACAAACCATCCTTGAATTATGCTTAATAATGCCTGAAAGTTTCATTACAATCTGTCGAGCGGCTTCGGAGTCCATAAAGGACAAACAAACAAACATACATACATTGGATTTTATATACAGGGTGACAAAAAAGTCTGGAAACGGCTTAATATCTTTTTAACTAAATCCGTTAGAAAATTCAAACTTTTCACATCAACTTACATCTATAAAAACTACTTTTTCCATCTTTAATGTAAGCATAGGTTGATATGCACATCATTTTAAAGGTCTGGTCAAGTGGAGTTCATTGCCGGAAACTGCATCTCAAAAGGTTCATTCGTTACAAAATGGCGGCATTTCAAAGTTCTTGTGGAATATACCTTTACAGGCCTTAGCATTGGTAAATACTCGTATTAAACATTATCTTGAGAGCTGAAACTGTATTTTAAAGTCAACTAGCTCAAAGACTAAATTTATTCAATCTTCAAAACAAATTTAACCGGGTTTCAGATTTCCCGGCTAATTTTGACTAAGAGTATTTACCATTACTAAGGCCTGTGCAGGTATATTCCGCAAGAACTTTGAAATGCCGCCATTTTGTAGTGGATGAACCTTTTTTGACACAGTTTCCGGCAATGAACTCCACTTGACCAGACCTTTAAAATGATGTGCATATCAACCTACGCTTACATTAAAGATTATGTACCTACCTACTCCTCATGGGCCGTCCCCTGGTGAAGGTACAAAAATGGCAATGCTTGCAAAAAGTAGTTTTCATACATACAAGTTGATGTGAAAGGTCTGAATTTTCTAACGAATTTAGTTAAAAAGATATCAAGCCGTTTCCAGACTTTTTTGTCACCCTGTATATATACTAGCTGGCCCGACAGACGTCATCCTGTCCTAATGTGGTTTTATGTCAAATGCTTGTTCATTTTCAAGATCCTAGTTGAAGTTTGTTCGCTACGCTCACTCACCTTTAGGTTGGAGCTCGTTCGCTGCGCTCACTTGCCTTCAGGTTAGCTCGTTCGCTACGCTAACTCGCCTCCAGGTTGAAGTTCGTTCGCTACGCTCACTCACCTTCTGGTTGCAAATTAGCTGTTGTCATAAATAAAAAAAAAAAAATAGTATATGCACCCTGTTGGTAAACTTATTAAATTTTTTATGCTATTGAACATCCCAGAATCAAATTGCTTAGGTGAACCAGCTGTTAAGATCCTTTAATTCCATTTAAATATGAGTTCTCATAAGGTTAACATGGGAAACTCCAGAGCCACTGGGGCGGAGCCCTTTTGACGGATCTACACCAAACTTCACACAAACCATCCTTGAATAATGCTTAATAATGCCTGAAAGTTTCATTACAATCTGTCGTGCGGTTTCGAAGTCCTTAAAGGACAAACATACATACATTGGATTTTATATATATAGATTACTTTATCCCCCTACTGGTATATGGAGAAAGTATTGTTTTCGTCAAAATTTTCGAGTTTGAGTTTTGAGTGGATATATCCATTTTGGGTCCCCCTGGACCCAAAAAAGTGGTTTTCAAAGTCATGTCTGTGAGTGTGTGTGTGTGTGTGTGTGTGTGTCTGGATGTACCCTGTAGTCCGTTTTTTATGGAATTTGGTATGTAGGTAGGGGAGAGCGGGCCTGAACCGTACAGCGAGGCTAAACCGTACACCCATTTTTTTGGCCTAGATTTCAAGCTAGGTGCTAGGTGATCCCGACAAGTGCTGCTATTTAGCAGCAGAATGCGCAAGTTTACAGTATCTGCATCGTTTTGCTATGTGTGCTAGTTTCAATATCTCAGTAAAAAAACATGTTTCTACTCACTTGCTTCTAATTTTCGTCCAGTACTAAATAAAAAGTTAGTGAAGTAGCTTTTATCGTTGTCTATAACTGTGAGATCATAATAAACTACATCTCATAAGCCTTCTTTTGGTTATTAGCGATGATTGGTTAAGTGATAGAATTTGACTTGTTTATAAATTCCCACGAGGTACAGATTGGGGCTAAACCGTACAGCTCTGGTACAGGGTGCTGCTCATGTTCAGGGTGGGCCATTCAGCTTGCAGTGCTGCGGAGTCTGCAGAGAACTACATTTGTGGACTTTTCTTCTTTCTTTTGATTTAGAGATGAAATTTTATAACTTTTTTCATAAACTTCATGATTTTCATGAAGGTTGATTTTTGAAATGAAATTTCTTCTAAAATGTTTAAATTGTAATACACTGTTTCTTAACTACAACCTTTATAGTAATAAAAAGTGTGTGTACAGTAATTTGTTGCAGTACTATTATATTACTAACCTAAATAAATGATTTTTGAACTGTACGGAATAGCCCCACCCCCCGGGGCTATTTCGTACAAGGTAACTTTTTTTAATTAAAAATTATTACATGTAAAAAATGCAATAGTTCCAAAATGTTAGTATACAATCAGTAGCCAAATAATTAAATTATATATTGCTTGTGTTTACATTACTTTTACTTCGTAATTTGCGATGTAACTACGAACCTCCCTTATGTGTACGGTATAGCCCCGCTCTCCCCTACTAATCCATGGTATCTCCAGGTGTTTTTTTTTATTTTTTTGAAATTTTGATTTTTAATGTCGATTTTCCTATAAACACCCATAAAACAACGTAAAAATAGGATTATCTAAAAAATGGCCCGAACGATTTTGATAAAAATTTAGTAATGTTGCAGGCCTTTAAATTCTGAACAAAATGGTAGAACTCCCATTTCTGTAAATATTACGGTTCAAAAGTTATTGTAAATTATGTTATTTTCCCATAAAAAAACCTATAAAATAAGAGAAAATCATATTTTGGAAAGAATCCTGTTTAGATTGAAATTAGTATGTGATAATACTTATAATTCCAAACAACATAGTGCAACCCCCATTGCTGTAAAAATTATGGTTCAAAAGTTATTGTAACTTATGTTATTTTCCCAAAAAACCAATTTAAAAAAACAAAAAAATGGATTTTTTGAAAAAAAAAACCGATTCTGATTGAAATCCTTCTGTTATGGTACTTATAATTCTATACAAAATAGTGAATCCCTTCATTCCTGATAAAATTACTGATCAAAAGTTAATGAAACCCTTGAGATTTTACCTATTAAATACCATAGTTACTCTCATCGCTTACCCATGATAAAGGTTGTTGACAAGCTAATGGGAGAAAGTATATGTCAGATTGCTGATACCGTTTATTATTATTGTATTGTTGTGATAAACATGTTTTTATTTAAGTAGATAGAAAATAGCAGGATTGTTTGTAAACAAAATAAGTAGCTTATCATCTCTTTGTAAATAAATACCTAATTGAAACTAAATTATAATGTATTAAATAATAAAACAATGGTTCTTAATCTTAAAATATTTTTTAAAATACCTTTATGTTAGACTTACGGTCTAGATCCAAAGAAACATTTACTAAATCTAGCAATAGGTAAAATTTTGCATAACTAAACTCCATTAAAGCTTAGTAAAGTGATGCAGTACTGGAAAAGAGCGAGTGCCAATAACTGGACCTGTATGCCACCATTACTACTTTACTTATCAGAAATGTTCAAACAAAGATCTTCATATTACATGTGTGCAAATGTGCTCCCATGTTACTCTTTTCTACACTCAACTCAAAATACACATTTCTATAGCTTTGCCATGTAAGTTGGCAACTCCAAGGGCTGGTTTAGGGATTTATTTGGTGGATTTATTTAAGAGACTCACACACTCATCTTTTCATGAACCTAAAAAGTAACAATCACAACGGCATCTGATTGTGAAAATCATTCTAAGAAAGATCAGCCACTAAACATTTGGGGAAATTTTATTTTAAAACAGTCAATCAAGTAATTACTTTTCTATATTAATACTTTTATCATACTGAAGTTTGACATTTATATACAGGATGGAACGAAGTTAGTGTTTAACATTTGTATGTGTTAAATTACTTAGTATTGGTGACAAAATGGCACTAATTTAAATTTCCATACCTCACTGGTAGGGAAAAGCAGACAAATTAATATTTTTCAAAATATTTGTATTTTCTTACATAAAATGGCCATAAGTGCACTAAAAATTGTTTTTATTTAGACTTAATTTTCAGAATTCTCATTAAATTTACAATAGTAAGCCTAATAGTATAGACTCATTGAGATGAAACATCTGTATAAGCCTTTATTCTGCAACGGAACTTTGAATTTGGGATTTTTGAGAGAAATGCAAAAATTTTTGAAAGGTTTGTCTACGTTAAAATGGACTATCGAGTGTCAACTACAGTATTACTAAAAACTTCTTAAGTTTTATACATAACCGTTTATACATAACCTTTAAGATTATGTATAAAAACCTACGGTTTCTTTGCTTTTTCGTTCTTAAATTTAAGAGTTTCTCTTGAAAGACATGGAATGCCCAAAGTCGCATTACTTTAAAATAACAAGTATTTGCTTATAATATAGTAATAGCTGCATTACAAATTGTGCTTGAATAGGGTTTATTGTAATTTTTTAATACTTGTGAGATTTATTATAAGGATATTATGGATCTATTAGGATCAACATCCATATTATGTTATGTTTTGTAATACAGTAATAAACTAGTGTTTTTATTTTTGAATACATTGAATATTGTTTAAGGTGTTACATGGTGCATTTAACCTAAGACTAAGACTTTTTAAAAGCATAAGGAAATACTTCTTCTAAAATAAATGTAGATACTACACTTTAAATGTTGTAAATGTGTTCACCGAAAACCCAAAACCAAGTTAAGTGTACCAATCAGTTGGTTGTAGTGCTTAAATACATGCCAATGAAAAATAACACAGCCAAATGATCTTTCATTTTAAAAATAATTTTGAACACCAAAAAAATGTTTAGCTATTTACACACAAACTAGGGCGAGTGCACCAGTGAATGACCGTTTAAGGTTGACTTTCTACTTGTAAACGACATGGGAAAATATACTACTAAGCTACATTGTACGAAATCGTTAAAATGTATTGCCCATATTTCCCTGTACTTCCCGATGATATAACTTAATACATTATGTTAAAAAAAAGTATCGAAAAATAAAATTTTTTGCCCATAAATCACCGCACCAGTGAATGACCGCATATTATATAACAATTTTAAAATTGCATTAAACCTCCTCCTTTTCACCGAATGACCCCCGTTCTAGATTTTTGCATCGAAGCTGTAAACCCTGTAGTGAAAAATAACAATATCAGGATCGTTAAAATATTGGTTCTAGTGAAGGATCACTTTTTATCTAGGAATTGACTGTAAGATTTAACTCGCATTCAAACTTTGGTTGTAGTGTATCCACATAATTTCTTATGAGATTTTGTGTTTCCTAGCAATAGCTTACTCCATCAGAAAACATTGTCATCAATATCAATAAAGAAAATTGACTAAAATCGAGTTAATGAACAAAATGGTCATTCACTGGTTATACCCTAATCTGTGAACCAGTAATTGACCGGCTGTTTAAATATACGATTGGTTAGGATTTTGATCTTTAAATGAGTACAGAATTATACCTTAACATGTTAACTGTGAATTACATGTAATATCTTACAGTTCCAATCAATAATTAAGGAACCATGACAAATTACAACCAACCATGTTTGGGCGAGACGCCATAGTGGGAAGCTTAATAATGAACTGCTTTGAAACATCTAATTTTGTTTATGTTACAAAATGATGATTGACACTTTCTTTTTTAATAAATCAAAGAGTGTACATTAATAAGACCTCAAAATTACTTTTAAAACTGTTTGTGATAGACTAGGAAAAACAGAAAGCCTGATATGATGTTTTTTATACAAATCGGTCATTCACTAGGGGGTGGTCATTCACTGGTGCACTCACCCTACAACATAATTGTAAAACAAACAATACCAAACGCAACTTAAATATCTGTTCCTTAACGGTTCAAAAGTTGCCTTCTACTTCATGCCAATTACTTGAGTTTTTTTTTCTCAAAACATTCTCCATTTTCCCTGATACACAGCCAAGTTTGTTTGCCCGTAGCACCAACAGTAACTTTAAAAAACAACGTTCCTCTGATTAGCACATCTGTGTTCATTATCCGGTTGTGAATTTCCTGATTATCGTCCACTAAAGATGGGAAAACTTCCATTGCAGAATAAATGCTTATACAGATGTTTCATCTCAGTGACTCTGTCCTATTAGTCTACTATTGTAAATTTAATGAGCACTAGTGTACCTGTTGCTCGAATTCGAGCAATTGCGAAGCATTAAAGGCGACTCAAAGATTATGGAAATACTCACGATCTACACAACAGTTAAATATAATCAAAATCTTTTTTCAAAAAGCTTATCTGGTTTTTTTTGTGTCTTCTACAAATTTTTCCCTCTCATAGCCGCATTAGGTTGTCTATGACAACGATTATAAATGAAAAAAAAAATTATTTTTATTTCTTCTACTTGGTTGTGTTCTATGACATTTTCTATGTTTCCATTGTTTGCAAATCGGTTATTTCAATGATTGCTCAAGAAATGTAGAACAGTGTTAATTTAGTTTTATTTTTAGCCTTTATCAAATTGTCCAGGATTTCTCGCTCTTTTCCATTGTAATAATTACACCAACCCAAGTTTCGTCTACAGGTGCAATATGCCAACGAATATCACCTACGGACAATCTCCAAAAAGTGGTAAAAAATGCAGAAACCAACCCATGCAATAGATATAAGTTAACTCCAAAAGAAATAATTTTAAGAGTTACTATGATATTAGCATTTTCCACTGATTTGGTAATAGAATATTATATTGCAAAACATGACACAATGCAGAAGAAAATCCAATTTAAAATCATAAAAACCCATTGCAAATACTGTACTTCATTTTGACAAATTCAATAAATCACAATTTAAATATTAACAGCTGTTTCGTTAAAAAGTAGTGTAGAATTATGCATATGGTCGTAATGTAAACAAATCTGAAGAGGCAACTTTAAAGGCTTCTGGGGCAGAGCCCCAAGGGAATTTACCTCGTTCCTCTTTTGATGGCTCATCTACAGACCAAGACCTTTCTTTAGAGACCCCTACCAAGTTTCTATGCCCAGCCGTTCTCTCAAATTAGCTGTGACAAAAACCCCGTTTTCCTCCTTAAGAATAACATGGGATGGGAATTTAAAGGCCACTGGGGCAGAGCCCCAAGGGAATTCACCATGTTTCTCTTTTGATGGCTCATCTACAGACCAAGACCTTTCTTTAGACACCTCTACCGAGTTTCTACACCCAGCCGTTCTCTCAAAATAGAAAGAAAAACAGTTTCAAATTAATATATAGATTCTGAAAATTACATTATACTAGGTGAAACCCGTCGAAATCGACGGTTACTTTCAAGGCTTACGTTAATTCATCTAACTGCGATAAATTGGGTGAAATATACATATTTTGAACATTTAGCAATAAGTGTAAAAACAATAATGACATTAATTGCGTTAGTTGCCAAATTTGGTTGATCATTCAATGAATAAAATATTCCCCATACCGTACGTCATCGGAGTTATTATTAGTATGTTATATGGTATATCTTCCTTTGGAAGAACGTTTAAATAGTATTAAAATCGTATTGATGGATCTTTTGTAGTTAAACACTTTCGTGATTTCATCATATGATTTTATTTCAAAAGAAAACTTTTTTGGAAGACATATTCTAACTTCAAAGGGAGGTATATCCGTTACAGCGTAAGTTTGATTTTTCCTTCGTCACGTCGCGTCAGTTCATATCGTACTTCTGTGCCAATGAATGAACCCTCTAGCATAGTTTTGAGAAATTATTGATTGTGGGGTTACTGTTAAAGCTGGAATTCCTTGACATGGGGGATGTCAGTTAGTTGTCTCAGCCTTATAAATAACATAAAGTTGTCAATATAATCTCTCTACGGAATGTTTGATGTAGTGGAATACTTGAAGTGAAGTTGGCTTTTATTCTTGTACTGTTAGGGGCCTCCTCGTTTATATGGTCGTGCGGCTTCATAGGCAACAAATAATGCAAATGACATAGCAATGGGACATTTCCAAAAAGCAAAAATACTGTAAATTGGCTGTTACGTATATATTGACGTTTACATATGGTTAATCAATGTATCTTATAAAGAATTATGTGATCTAGTTTAAAAGGAATATGACCTTTCTGTCATGACAGTAGCTGCTTAAAACGTATTTTCTCTCTGTACCATATTTTACAGCCAAAATGTCGTGTTATCTTCAATAACGTTACCAAACCGTGCCAAAGTCTGTAATATAGGCAGGTGCAAATAATTTGTCAAGATGGGTACCATTTTAGACAAAGTTTCTACGTTTGGATTTTATTAGACACGATAAGAGCAGATATTTCTTCATAAATATTTCATATGTGTTGAATAATATGATAAAATGTAGACAAAAGTGGTGAAAAAGGCAGACACCACAGGCGTACCAATAGGCCCAATATCGTACCATAGGCGTACAATAGATATAAGATAGTT